TTTTTTACAGTTTTCTGGGTTCCGTACCAAGATTTTCAATTGTTAAAGTCCACTTATAGGGTTAAAAAAAAATTCAAAAATATCCCAAGTTTTTTACTTTAAACGTAAATTTTAAATTTACAATTTGGTTTAAAAATGCATATATTTCCTATGCATATCATCAGATGGGTTTGTTTGGCATCTCTTGTTAATATAAACAGGTTTATGTGTTTTGAGTGATGAGATTGTCACTGTATATTATATGAACGATAAAACATATAGTAATTATAAATATCTTTTTGAAAATATTTAGAGCAATTGTTATTGATTATTGATCAATATTTATTGATTATTGATTTGTTACCTTGAATATTTAATTTGATACGGAAAGTTTCAGCAATTTGCCTTAAGGCACAATGCCATGCACCACTAGTTGACTTGTTTTACTACTACGAGTTGACACATGAGTCTATTATATCTGAATTGTTGCCCTGCGCGGTTTAGTCGGCGATTGATTACTCCGCGAAAGTCCGAGCCTATTCGCCAACTCGCCTATTCGCTTACTATTCTGGCCTACTCTTCTCGTTCCCTGTTCTGCGGCAGGATTACGTTCACCGTTCACCATTCACCGTTCACCGTTCACCGTGGTGCGGTCTAGGCTTTGACAGCGCAGCGCGGCGCTCTCCCACTATTGCATTGTGTATGTAATACATCAAAGTCTGCTTGCGGACGAAAAGTCGATCCAACATCAACCACAATCGTGGCTCAATTCGACCGACACCTACACTATGGCAGAATGCTGGATTGTTATCTTCTTAAAAGATACTTGAGTGCGAAATCAGTACGGGGGTAATATATTACTAGTAATTTTCACAGCGAAGTTAATCTTAGGTCAAATATGTTACATGCTGTGATTATATGTGTAATATTATTATGTATTTCAAAAATTTAGTTAGGTGCATGACATCGTGCCTTAAGGCAAGTTCCTGGAACTTCTCGTACCGTAGTGAAATATTCAAAAAATATTAATTTTGAAGTAAAAGTTTTTTAGGCGCGACTAAGGTGTTAATCCGTACAAATGCAACGTAAGTCCGTTACGCCCGAACTGTTCGTCATTTGCTCGTAGATAAATAAACATTTTAAAGTTACATCGTAGTACAAATCTTGATTTATTAAAAAATGCCCGAATCAGAAAAATATTTTACCCTGTTCCTTGAAAATAATAAAACAAATTTAACATTTGTGCAGTGTATTAAACGTAAGTTTATCGATTAGAAATTATTTCTCTATTATTCGTAGTTTTTATAAATCTTTGAAGTTATTAAAATGGAAAATATTTTTTAAGCAAGACGGATATTACAGCTGTTCAAAGAATGAGATTATATCGCCAGCGAAAAAACAAAAAAAAATACAAACAGTCAATGAATGTATGTTAACACTTTCGACTCGGGAGTCGGACTGCCACTCGGTACGCTGCGCTCGGAATATTATAGTGCTATACTTATCTCTCAACTCGGAATTTTTTTTGTATCGGATTTTTTCAAAATGTGGTTATATTGTTTTTAAATATAGTTATTATGATAATAAAATAGAAAATTTTGAAAATTAAAAAAAAGCACTCAAAACCATGCTATATATTGTTTAAAAAATCATTTCTTCACAGATCTTTATTAGAATTATGGGGATCATGAGCTAATAAATTAATTTTGTTATATATTTATTTATAAAATTAATAAATCAATCAATAAATGAATGTAATAGTAAATTGATTTTTAAAAAATAAAAAAAATAAATGTAAGTTTAGTTTGCGACGAGTCGTCGCCGACACGATTTGCCGCCGGAGCGGCGGCGTCCGAGCTTAACGGTAAAACATATCATGTCGCCGGAGCGGCGGCATCCGAGCACAACGGTAAAATGACTATGCCTCCGGAGCGGCGGCATCCGAGTCGAAAGGGTTAATTTTAATTACATGAAGTTTTTAAAACACAATTATTGTATGAACGAATATTATAGAATTTATTAATCAGCAATTACTTCATTTCTCTAATAAAGTTTCATTTTTAAATGCTAATTACAATGATAAACCGATCATGTCATATTTGAAGTATGACTTTAATTACATTATTGTTTTTAAATATTATACAATTTTTTAATGCTAATATGAATAAATAATTTATAATTTATCATTATATAAATGTGTATAATGGTTGACACTAATAAATGTATGCATTATGGGTATTGCCCCATATTACTAATAAACATTATTCAAAACTGTTATATGATGTATTTATTTTTACTTAAATGCCATCTTGTACAGTAGCAAATAAGTATTACTTTAATCGCGTGTGAACCTTACTCGCATTTTTTTCCTAATATACTCTGTTTAAATATTGTTATGATTATACTATTATTATTATAAACACTTTCATTATTCGTATTTTGTAGACAAACTATAAGAGCTTATAAATTGAACCATGGCGTTCATATAAGTTTAAATATCCCCATCAATACAATAATAGAATGTTTTTTGAATCATTCAAATCGGATGCTCGATCTCTCAAAAACCTATTTGCTATTTTTGCCAATCAGCTCTTCTCATCATCGGTAGGAAATGAATGATTTTTGAATCATTTACTATTAATCCATGCACCCAAAATCTTAGACGTAAAATTGTATCCATAAACACACAGACACACACGTATACATTCATTTTTTTTCACCGTATGCAAAATCTTCTGGAACCTTCAAAACAAGAAGATGTGCAACAAAAATTTGTTTTCGATTTTTGGACAATTAAAATAACTTATTCATCGGGTAGTTAACAATGTCTTTTGAATGGATTTTAATTTTACAATATCTAATTAGAATTGTTTAGAAATGTGGTCACGTTTCTGGTAAAGAAACGACTTGTCCGATAGTGTTGCAAAACTAACCAGCGCAAGTTATTATTAAAAAAAATCGAATGGCTTTCAAATTTATGACATAAGTATCACCGTTTTTTTTAAATATCGTCTACAAGTCAACAAGTCTTACTCACAAACACCTGGTTATCTTTTCGCTCTGTTATGTCCAAATGATCTCTTTTGATAGTATTTAAATCTTTGCACATTTTTCTATTTCCGCAAAGCTATAAATAACTAATTCTAATAATATTTCGCATACATTACAAATTGTATCAATAATCCTTGAAAACATCAACATTATCATTGCAATCCAGGGTCTTTAATCCCCATAAACCATGCAATTCCATGCTCAGTCAGTAGACTGAATTGAGAGATCCAATTCTGATAGAGAATTTACGTAGCCGCGACCACAACACGCAATTCGCCACACCGACTGCAATTAATCCTATCGTCTCTACTACAAGCCGACCGGCTACTCGATGCAGAATTGCAAATAATAGACAATTATACGGGATAAATAAGTCATGAAGTCAAAAAAAGTTGAAACAGATTGGCCGAACATATGTAGTCGTACTTGGAAGTAATCATAGATTTGCAACTTTCTTTAGATGATTTCTTGCACTTTGTATAAGTGGTTCGTGGTATTCGATTTTATTATTTGGATTAAATTAATATATAATTTTATGAATTGTAAATATAAGAACATTTGAGTTTTTCAAAAATGTGTACCAAGTTTATGGATATAATATTGTAAAAAATCAATTTTATTAATCACAATATCATTAGTAAATCACAGTTAAATGTATCAAAAGTAACTCCCACTAGAATAAGATTGAGAATCATAAAAAAATCGAAAATGAAATTTTTTGCGTATCTTAACGTTCCTAAGATTTCTGAACATTTTGGCATATCTTAAAAAAAAGAATGTATGGTTGTGTGCCAGTGTGTATTTTGTATGACCACGATTTGAGGCGCACGGATCAACCAATTGGAAAAATTAAAAAAACATTTGATTCCTATTGATATGTAGATGTGCTGATTAGTTTTAGGCAAAGACAGGGCCTGCCGTTGTAGAGATACGGAGCAAAGAGTGCAGAAAAAAGAAATCGAGTTTTTGAAAGAACGGAACATCCCATTTGAATGATCCAAAAACATTCAAATCGTGATGATTGTAAGAACTGGTGATTAGTTTTTGGCAATGACAATGCCAACAGTTTCGGAGATACAAAGCTAAATGTGCAAAAAATGGTATTTTTTCAGAGAACTAAGCATCTGATTAAATGTCCAATTTATAAGCAAGTATATTTTGTCTACGAAATACGAATAATAAAAGTTATAGTATTTATTATAAAAAAATTTGATAAATTAATAATTATTATTACCGAAAATTTCATTACGGTACGGAAAGTTTTAGTCAATTTTGTATTTGTGAAGAGTATCTTAGAAATTTCGGTAAAGATTATTTTAGAAATTTTCATCCGAGAACATCAAAGTCCTATGTCAAAAAAAAATCAAAAGGTAAATGGGTTTAAATGTCGCCGTGGTAAAAATGCACAAAAAATATAAAAAAAAGTTAGTTATTTTTAAATTTTTCGACTGTCCGAAGATAGAAACTTCAAACCAGAAGCACATGAATTGTCTCGTGGGCAAGAATAACTGGACCCTAGGTTATATTTTGTCGATTTTTTGGGGAAAATTCGAGGTGCCCAAAATTGCAGGATACAATCCCTATGACTTAAAGAATTTGCATTAAATATATTTCGATTGCAATTCAAGTACTTCAAAAAACATGAATTGTCTTGTGGCGAAGAATAACATCAAGTAGTTGCATTTCGTTAGTTCTTTCACTAACGTATTGGTATTTTGAAAATCTATTTTTCATCCTTTGACAGTTTCTTCTTTTGAATATATCGGAAACATAATTGATTACACAAATGAATTTTCAGTTATGCCAAAATATTCAGAAACGTGAAAGATATGCTAACGTTTTCGTTTTCTATTGCTACTTATAAAATTTACCCCACTCGAAGTTAATAATGATTACGTGAATGCAAAACCCTTCAGTATGATACGATAAATATTCCCTTTGTACAACAATGTCTTAGGTCTAACACTTACTTTGTAGTATGTGCACGTTGACGCTGGCAGGTCGTGCATTTGAAGGCACGCAGGTGTAATTTCCCGCGTGAAATTTGTCGGCCTGCTCGATCACCAGCTCGCTGGACTGCTTGCCGTGCTTCACGGTGACGCCGCCACCTGCAAAATAAAAAATAATATGAAGGACTTAATTTTTTTTGTTCAAATTTATTTTTGTTAATCAAGACTTCGTGTCTTGTCAATGTCTCATTTACAAAATTGACAGGTACAAAAAAGAAATTATTCAAAAAATACAATAAATTGAATAAAAACAAAAAGTTAAAAGAAGTTAAAATAATAATAATAATAACAGTAATATAAAAATACAAATATAAATGAACTATGGCGCGCTGATTATTCGCCCATCACAGTTAAAGAGTGCTAAGTTAGAGCGCGGGTAGACATTGGACTAGGTGTTTGGTAGGTCGGTAGAACTTTTTCTTCTTACTTTATTCAGTATTCAGTAATTCAGTAATTAGAAATATACAACATTAAAAGCTAAACTGAAATCATTGTATTGTAATCAAGATAATCTCCACTGAAATTATCTTGTTAATCTGGTTATGCATTGTCCAATTGCCAAGTTTGCTTCAGCCTCCTCTGTCTAGTTTGTAATAATTTGTGCGCTAATTGGTTAGGGTGAATGAAAGTGAAAACTATAGCATTGATTTACATTCATATAAAGACTGATATGGGTCAGCCTGGTATCCGCTTTCACTATAAAGACTGATATGAATGCTATAACATTCAAATTTTAAAGTCATTTTTTTATAACCTAACGCTGTTGTAATTATTATACCTCTAGAGGTAATGGCAGTAACTAATTCTTTGGGTATTTTTGTACTATCTTTTCTTTTCCTGTAATCACTATTTAGCTTGGGCAAACACTTAGTGTAAAATAGAAGCGCTTTTTGATGTGGATGCTATAGCATTCATCTAGCACATAACGATTAAAATAAGAAAATCTTATGACTACCTTTATAATCGGTGTTCAATGAAGTTTTGGATATCACAGCCAACATAAAAATAAATGTACTGTCAATTTTTGTACTTTGCTGAGACTTCCACTGTCCGTCAACGTGTTAAGAAATTTATAATTGCAAAAAAAGTTTTATGAAAGGATTCACAATATTAAAAATAGATAATGTGATTTTTACCTTTTTGAATGAGGAGTTAATTTTCAACCAAAAGCAATTTCAATCGAAATTGCTTATTTTATGTTTCCTCGACGTTTCATGTCATTCTGAATCGAATGGAACCAAATTTGCAAAAAGTATGTTTGTGTGAGTGTGTGTTACCAGATTTTTGACATTCTGTCAACACTTCTCAATAACGGTTGGACTGATTTAAAAAATTCAAAAGTTATTCGATGTAACTCGATAAGGACTAGTGTTTGAAAATCAGCCAAGTCGTTTCTTTGTAATTATCAAAAAAGTGTGAAATATTTTGTCCAAGTTTTAGCCCACAATTTTTGAAACGACTTCAAAAACTTGAAAACAGTTTGCAAGATACTAATTTGTTTTGTAGCCCAAAATTTTGAAAAAACAGGCCAGACCTTTTTCCTGTAATTTACTATTAAATTTTTTTCCAACCATTTTTATGAAACGTTTTACAGCGATGGATATCATGGTCCTATAAACCATACTGAAATATTACCGTGCTACAATGAGTCGTTTAATTTTAAAATTTGTAGAAGTTTGTGAAAATTAAGAACATTTTTTGGCGCTTGTCAAAATTAGACCTTTCATCGTCGTTTTCCCAAAAAAGACTGTTTTCTTGTGATTAACCGTCGGACAAAATGCCGATTTTTATAAAAAAATAGTTGACGATAGATAGACGACCCTATGACAAGTAGTTTAATTTAAAAAAATTATTCAAGCTTGAAAAATTATAGTCTAAATTTGTGTCAAAAATAAAATGGTAGGAATTGATACTAATTTGTTGTTTGTCCCAAAATTTTGAAAAAAATAGGCCAGGCCTTTTTCCTGTAATTGACTATTAATTTTTTTCCAACCATTATTATGAAACTTTTTACAGCGATATATATCATGGTCTTATAAAACATACTGAAATATTACCGTCCTACAATGAGTCGTTTAACTTTAAAATTTGTAAAAGTTTGCAAAAATTAGTGACATTTTTTGGCTCTTGTCAAAATTAGACCATTCATCGTCGTTTTCTCAAAAACGACCATTTCCCTGTTGGCAAAAAATTGCCGATTTTTATAAAAAAAAAGTTGACGATAGATAGACGACCCTATGACATGTGGTTTAATTAAATAAAAGTTAAAAATAAATAATTAATAATTTTTTTAATTAATTAAAAAAAATCATCAAAGTTTGATAAAGTATAGTCAAAATTTGAGCCAAAAATCGTTTTTGTGATGTGATAAGTCAAACATTGTCAATGTATTCAAATGTGGAATAATGAACTACAATGGACATACATAATAAATGAAATACAAAATAATGGACTACAAGGACATACAAACACCCGTGTCTGTGCTGTATGATTAATATAATTACATATATTATAAATGAGTTTGAGAAGATTTAATTGGAAATCGCCTTGTTAGACTAATTGAGTTGAAAATTTTATCTAAATACCTAAATCCAAATTTCGGTTGATTAAATCAATCAATCTATCGGAAAGTTCATACGACTTGCCTTAAGACAAAATGCAGCTTTTAACTAGTTAGTTTTCTGATTCTACTAACTCTTACAAAATCTTATCTACTACAAATCTGTACTACGGTGAACCACGGCACGTATTCGTCTAATTTAACACTCCAGGTACAATATTTGGCCTGTGAACGAATGGATTTAGCGGTTATTCGTTATCGGGAGAACAGACCCCGGTTAGAACACCTCTAAACTCTAACCTTGGATCCGATATAGCACTGTGTCACTAGACTAACACATTTCACCGCCGACAGGAACAGAAATAGACGGGGCGCTAATGGACAAGTTGCGAAAAAAAAATTGATGGAATTTATATAAACGAAAGACCTACCAATATCAACTTAGATATATTAGTCCAGTTCTCAACTGTATAGAAATTAGGATATATGAATAAAACTTAAGTGACATGCACTTTGAAAACAAAAAAATATTTTATTATTTATTAACTTCCCGAAGAAGTTTGTTTTCATAAAAAAATCCGATTTGCTAACTTTATGTTTTCTGGACATTTCAAGCCATTCTGAATCGAATGAGATTGGAAGATATGTATATATATATATATGTGAACAGATGACCGATTTCAAAAATTTAAAAGCCATTCGATGTATCTCGTTGAGGACTATCGTTTGTCATTTTGAGTCGTTTTTACAAATATTAGTTGGGAACGATACTGATTAGTTTTAGGTAAAGATCGACCGAGCCGTTTTCTTGTAATTAATTGTTGAAAAAAAAATTGACGATTTTTACAAAATTTTTTGGCAATAGATATCATGGTCTTATAGAACATACTGAAATATTGCGAATCAACGACAAGTAATTTCATTTTAAAAATTCATCGAAATTTGAAAAAATATTATTGTCAAAATTTATGTCAAAAGTTGCTTTTGTGATGCGGTAAGTCAATTAGCACAATTTAATTTCTCTATTTTTGTGAGAAATGTTACCATTTAATAACTTTCCGTAGAGTAAGTTATAATAATAGCAGAAAATCGAAAATGTAATTTTTATATATCTTTACGTTTCAAAGGTTTCTGAACATTTTGGCATACATTGAAAAAAATTAATGTATGAGTGTGTGTGTGTGCAGGTACAAATTTTCGTCGACGATTTTGGGAACACGGATCAACCAATTTGAATAATTTAAAAAAAAAACATTCGAATTGTATTGATAAGGAGACGTGCTGATTAGTTTATGACAGTTAGGAATAATTGTGAGAAAACGGAGTATTCAATATTAATATTTCTTCTATAATAAATAATATACAAAACATTTGGAAAGGCAGGTTTAACGGTTTCAGAGATCACGTGAAAAAAAAATGAATTTGGGAATTATATGCACATTAAATTTTCAAGTATTTTATAGACACTTTAAAACTTAGTAGTGAGTTTGTTACAATTTTTTAGAGTTCCGTACCAACTTTTTTAAATTTTTAAAGATCACTTATAAGGCTCAACCAAATTTCAATGTTTTCTAATTTTTTTTTTCAAAATTTTACAAAGTTTTATACTTTAAGTACAAATTTAAATTTACACTTGAGTTTAAAAATTTTATATGGGTATTCCTTAGAAATATATCCTTAAATGAATTCATTAGGCTGCTCTTGTTAATGTAAACATTCTTAAGTGTTTTGTGCGAAAAGATTGTAACTGTATATTATACAAACGATAAGATATATTGTATTAACTAGAGGGGTATATGGCATCGTGCCTTGAGGCAAATTGCTGTAACTTCCCGTACCGTGAATAGAAATCTTGGTACGGAACGCAAAAAAATTCACAAAAAGTGTACACATAATTAAAATCTCTATAAAATATCTGATAATTTGATGTACATATGTCCAATATACATATTTGACCGTCAAATGCCATTTTTTCAAATTATGTTTATTGAGATTCCATAACCGATGGACCTGTCTTCCCAAAAATTTAATCAGTTGTTCATCTTGTCAATAAAAGTAAAATGTTTTTTGAATCATTCAAATCAGGTACTCTATTCTCTCAAAACTGAATTACCGTTTTTAGCACTTTTTGACCCGTATCTTCGGAACGGCTAGACTTGCCTTGCCCAAAAACTAATCAGCACGTCTCCTTATCAATACGAATCAAATGTTTTTTGAGTCATTCAAAGCGGTTGATCGGTGTTCCCAAAATCGTCGACAAAAATATGTATCCGCACACACACATATACATCCAGTTTTTCTGAGATATGCCAAAATGTTCACAAAAATTTGAAATGTAAAGATATAAAAAAAATTTCAGTTTCGATTTTTTTGCGATTTTTTGCGATTACTATAACTTACCCTACGGGAAATTAATTTTATTTGAAAATATTTAGAACAATTTTTATTAACTTTGATCAATATTCATTGAATACCGATGAATTTTTTCCTAGAATGTTTAATTACGGTACGGTAAGTTCCAGCAATTTGCCTTAAGGCA